ATATTTCCACCAACAATTATTAAAACCACACGTCGTTGGATTAACATATTTGGAACACATTGGACATTTTGTTGTTTTGCTATTTGGACCTCTCAGAACATCGAATTCTATGTATCCCATGGACATGATGACTTTTCTATCTTTAGCTACGCATGCTCCATTTTTGCATAGTCCTTCCAAACATAGACCAGGAGCTGCTATTAGCCAATCTGGAGCAGTTTTTGCCCATTCTATTCTTTTTAAACCTTCTTTATTACTAACATCAACGAAATGTGCTCCGAAAGTCGGATTGCGACCTTGAAAGTCACGATACGTTAAATTCAACATAGCATCAGGTTTTATGCCGTAATCGAAAAGTGTTTTGTTATCGTCATCAAATTGCCTTCCATCCAGCTCTAGAAGTATCTTTTCAAAGTCTACTTTTGTATTGGCCTTTTGGTGATAATACTCTTTGAGTTGTCGAATAGTTGTTGTTGATTCAACATCGAAGACATATACAGTTGATTGTCCAACTGTTGTTGTAATGTAAACCTTCATAAGTCTACTATTAATAAAGTTCTAAAAGAAAATAAGCAAAGAAAATAAAGCATGCATTGATTTTAACGTGAAATAATTTTCTTTTGTAGTCATAGTCTTATTAATCATAGATAGAAAAACCGAAAACAAAACTATTCTTTCATCATAAACAATTTTACGATTGTTTTTTTTTGAATAGACGACAACAGAATGAAAAATATGACAAGTTAACTATCTCAAAAGAACATCATTTTTGTACAATAAATTTCTGACATTTCATCCTATTATCATAACTACAGGTCAAATCCTTAGTTCTTTTTTCTTCCTGTCTTTGACGTTCTTCAATGTTATATGAGAATATGATGAGTAGTCTAATCATAGTTTCAGATACTTCAATTTATAGACTAATTACAATTCATAGAAAGAATTAAGCATAGACAGATCATACTGAAGATTTCAGAAGATGAAATAACAGATGCAGAAAATATATATCAATGACAATCATTTAGTAGTATTAGAGTTTGGTAATAAAATGTAAGAAAATAACTGGACATAATGGAAGGATGGTGCTTGATTTTGTAGACATCATCTGAATCAAAACTACCGTGTTGATTATTTTCATGAATAAATTACCAAGATTTGTTGATCATTAAAGTCACTCCAGTAATGTCCATGAAATTATAGTTGATGGATTGAACAATCTGAAACTCTACATGACGATCACATAACAGTACAAGTACCATCAATAGGTTAGACAAAGCATTCTGTCAAAAATTTTGTATTTATTAAATAAAATGTGTCATTTTGTGCGGAATTTCAACGACATGTCTTTTAATTTAAAAAAAAACAAAGATGCCTTGATCGAATGTAACATCTGAAACAACTTTTGAACATACTAACAGCACACTAACTTAGGTACCTTCTTGGTTAAATTTTCGTTTAGTATTAGTTCTCTATATATTTCGAAAAGAAATATATTTTCTTGAGACAAAAATAATTTCTGAAAGATTCGAGTTTTAACGTTATTCAAAAGAAATCCATGTTGAATAGAAAAAAAAATACATGCATTACATTGCTTACCTACTGATGAATATTAATATCAGAAATAATGTATATGTATAAATAAACTTTGTTTGCTTTCAATAAACAATAATGAAACAATGAAATACGAATGTAATGATCTAAAATGATCAAACAAAAAAGATACTTCATCTAAACTAAAGAATATATTCATACTAAAATATTTTTCATATTACTTTTTCTTTCAAAACGAATCTATTTGTAATACTAAATGAATTACGACCAACTATACGCACTAATTTTTTTTTCTAAAACAAATTTTCTTTCCTAAACATTAATCTGTGTGTAGAAATACAGTGAAAACAATTCATATATTTAATTCACCATTTACTTGGATTTTTCCATTCCTATCATCAAGACAAAGTGACGCATGCATTTAGTTTTTCTTTTGTTCTGTTTTGCTTCTTGTATATTATGAATCATGTTTTGTTGTGTTATTACACAATATATTGACATAGAAAGATGCTTCGTTTTTGTCTTCAGGTTCATAAAGAAAGAGATTGGTTTAATTTAAAAACATATGCATCTTTATTATTTCATGTTTCGTAGTTCTACTATCGCATACCTGTGATACATTATACAATCGATGAACAAATATAAAAGCTATTAAATTTTGAAAAAAGATGACGCTATTATAGAGATTCAATCTTCAACGAAAGTTTATTAAATACAATGACTTGACTCTTATAAAGTACTGTTAAACTTGAAATTTAAATCCATTTTTCAAATTTGATTTAAAAGCGTTCGAATACAGATAAATATATGGGAAGATAATCCGATTTCTGCTCTTTCAGAAAGGCTATAGGTTTTTATCAAAACTTTTGTATGATATCCGTCAGCCCCTACGTGAACAGTATGGCATTTTAAAAAAACGAGTGATTATTTTCCACTTTTGACCAATATCTCCGTCAAACATCATGATGTAGAGCTGGAATTTTTAATACAGCTTCTCCCCATCAACTCCAACATATTCTGAAACTTTCATGCAATTCGAAATTTCCTCGACTAATATAGGTTTTCGAAAAGTGGCTTACGCTAAATACGTTATGAGAGTGTGGGTGTGGGTGAGGGTCAAAGTATTTCATTCGCTAACATCGTCACATCTATATCCACACCAACACCCTCGCTTGCTTGCTCATTTTCATTTATTTCGAAGTAATTCGCGCGTAAGAGAATCACCATACTTGTACATTGGCTTCAACATTCCTGTATGGCATCTTGTTTAATAAAAAGATCATTTATTCTCATAGATATATGTGTCAGCTCAGATTCTAAAACGTGAATGTTATACTCCATTACAAAGAAGAGTTTATGGATACTAGAGAGAAAATAGTTGAAATTTTTACATTTCTTTTTGCTCTTTCATGTACGTATTTCTTGAGAATATGTCTGAACAAAAGATTCAACTTGAGACTTAAACAAACATTCACACCCACCCCATCTAGATCTTTAGGCATTGACATAAGTTTGAAAACGAATGACAGTGTATTTTACTAGTACTTCATTTAAAATGAATTGTTTCGAGAAAAATGTCGAATGTTTATTCAGTTGAAATAATATTAAAAGCCATCATAACGGTGTAACATCTTGGCACGATAATTATCCGTAGTAACTATTGGTTGTTATATCGCCTTTTCACTAAACCAAATGGACAGATAACTTTGTTCGAAACACTATGTGAATTCAATATCCTTACGCTTGAGCCATGCAATAAGGGTGTGGGTGTGTGTGTCGGCATGGGTGTGGAGTGTGGGCATGCGGGGTGTGAGTGTTGATGTGAGTGTGGGTAGATGAGCACCGTATTGGAGTACAACAACATTCACACCCACACCATACACCCACCCCACAGCCACACCTGCACCCACATCCACACCCATACCCACAGCCACCATACACCCACCTCACAGCCACAGCCACACTCCACACCCACTCACGCCCACCCTCACCCCACACCTACCCACACACCCACGCCCCATACCCACAGAGATGATAGATCGAGGTTTTCTAGGGCGGAGAACTAGAATCTGAGTTCCACTTACCTCGAAATCCTATTGGTTGAGCAGTAACCAATAGAAATCACGTTTTAGGAAAAACGCCTTTCTGAGGGCAATTCAGAACAAAGTGTTTAAATCTGAGCTATATTTGCTTCAAAACCCTATTGGTTGAGCAGTAACCGATACAAATCAGGTTTTAATCGAAGGGGCTCGCTAGGATAATTTTGATGGCTACACGTGCTAGGATGACTCATCTGCCCAATTCACTTTTTGAAGTACGCATAACACTCGGATTTAAATCCGATTTTTCCAAATTTATTGTCTTTGATAAGCACTCAAACAAACAGTTGATTTCCCTATCAATTTCCCTAGCTTTAATCTGATCTACGTCAAATCTTACAAATAAATTTTTGTGAAAAGCTCTACAAACTTGGTTTTTCACTAGCACAAAACTTGGTTAAAATTTAAGAGTCAAGGTCGCTTGTCTTCTCAATTTCGAATCCGTTCTGTTGAATATTTTTTGCACGAGAAAATATGATTGATCTCTTCCATCTAAAACAATTTTCATCATTATTGAGCTTATTGTGGCTGACATATGAATGTGAAAAAGTTGTGTTTTCAGCGTTTGTCAGACTATCGAATTTTTGTACAGGATCTAAAATAAATAAAATAAAACCTATAATTTGACAGAGTAATTAATACTCTATTTGATTATATCAAAATAAAATAGTTCAAATGTTTTGCATAAATACAGCACACTGCACAAAACTATCAAAGATAACTGAATCCAGTTGTAAAACGCCAGAGAGTCCTTCTTTTTTAAATTCTTACTTTATTACGAGAGAAATTAGGTCATATGATCAATAATTCAGAAGATTTGATAAAAAGAAACATCCATTTACATAAGTATTTGCATGTATAACAAAAAAACATAGTTTAGTTTAAAAAAAGTACTCTGTAATGCCCTGCATTTTGACGTGCTCTTTCAAACAAAAAAAAGCTAAATATATTGAATCAACCTGGACAGAGAAATTTGGGTTACGCATTGGAGAATGTATTATCTAAGAAAAAACGAAAGATGTTTCCCGTTTTTTTTGCGAAAAGCATATTTTTTAAGAAGTTGATAATAGAAATTATCGAAAATTTTGTCCCAAAAGGGAGTATCATTTTAAAAGCTGTATTGTTTTCTAAAGAGCAAAACGTGGGCTAATTCTCCATACATTTATTTTAGTTTTTTTTTTCAGAAAAATTGACTTCTGAGCTGGAGATCTTTATATGCTGTAACACAAACCAATACGCAAGACTTCGATAATATGTCTTTGAGAAATTAGTTATGAAAAGTGTTACCGCCGAGCTTTAAACTATGGTTTGAAAGTGGATGCAGTCTCATTCTAAAGTTTATTGTTTCATCTAAAAAAAAGAGCTTGCGCCGCCCATGAGTTCAACAAGAAGAATCAAAGCATAATCATGATATATCAACTCTTTCAACACATTTCCATCTTCAGCATGACAATAACGTTCTGAAAACCACGTGTGTTCACCGATATAATCTATTAGTGTCTTTGTTTGATGTTGAATAAGCCATTCTGCAAACTCAACGATTCGAATTCGAATTGGAATTCGAATTGGAAGGTAAACACTTTCTTCTTCGAAAACTATTTCTTCATCTTCATGATAAGCTGCTTCAGCAAAGATATGTGTAATCCAACGAAGAAGAGTAGTTTTTGCACTACCTGGATCACCAAAAATGACGAACCATCGATTAGCTTGTAGTGCATTCGTAATTTCTATAGGACATTGATCTAGACCTAGTTTTACTTGTTCGATCGTGGGTAAAAAATAGTTCGAATTGTTATTATTTGTTAAAGACGATTTATTATTTAAAAATAACGATGAATCAATGCTATTTAATGATTTATTTGAGCAATCGAAGGGTATTTCAATACAATTTAGTTCTTGTTGTATACAATTCTTACTGTCTGAAGCTGTTACGAAAAACTGATCGATATCTTCTATTAGATCCTCACACGTCCATTTTCGAACGAAGAGACACATTTCTGAAGATATGCTTGATTTCCATCGAATATTTGCCTCTTTCGTTTTTCAAACATTTGATCAAACTATAATTGGCGTTGTTCTAATTCACTTTCAAATCTTATTTTTTCAAGAACACGTATCTAACTATAGAAAGAATATTATCATGTAATTGAATCCAGAAATCATATGGAAGCGAATAATCTTGATTCCACCATCATTCTAATTGTCGACCGGATAATCGAATCCAGTTATTTTTAGATGAGTCACATGCAATTTTTGATTAATTATGTGTATTGCTTGTCCAATCACTTTGTCCATATGTATTCTGATCAGCTATCATAAGAAAACATTTTATTAAAACTTGAATGAAATAAGAATTTATTTAAATAGATCTCAAACACAATTTAAGATATTTTACATTGAAAAACTACTCACCAACTATTCAAAGAATCACTTTTTCAATGTTACTTGAGTTTACGATTGTTTGTTTAAACACAATTGATAATTCTATTCGTTTGTTTAATATGAAAGCGTACACAGAAACAAAACGAGAAAACAAATCCTCTTTGATTTCACACAAAAAAACAAAAAAATTAAGAACATTTGTAAAAATAATGTAATATACATAAACAAAGAACGATATTAAATCCATTTTTCATAAAGCAGCGCGTCAATATCGTAGTGAAGCGGTAGGTAATAGACAGTAGACAAAGATAACCAGCTTTGTTTTACGAATCGTATATTCATTAGAGTTTTTTCTGAAGGAAGTTGAGATATTTCTGAACTTCTAGAACTTCTGGAGAGTCACAATCGAAATCTTGTCGTGCATACTCCACTGCTTGTTGGGCATGGTGGATAGCTTCTGTATCCCGTTGAAGATTTTCTAGTAGCTTTGCTGTATTATAGTGAATGATACGCAATAATGGATAATTCAAAGGACGAGATTTATGTTGAACTGCAAGTGCTTTTTCATGGTATGAGAGTGCAGTCAAATACTCTCCCATGAAATGGTAAACTGAACCAATATTGTTGTAAGTAATAGCCAGTGATGGATCATCAGGTGAAAGAGATCTCAGTTTGATGTCCAGTGCTTTTTTGTAGTATGACAATGCAGTCGAATAGTCTTTCATAACATCATGCAATGACGCGATGTTGTTGTATGTAGTAGCCAATAATATATGATCGTTAGGAAGAGATTTCTTCATAATATCAAGTGTTTTACAATAAATTGTGAGTGCTATCTGATAATATCCTAAAGATTTCTGAACTGAAGCAATGTTGCCGAGTGTAATAGCTATGTATGGATGATCAGGTGAAAGATACTTTTGTTGGATTTCAAATGTTTTATTGTAGTATGCCAATGCTTTTGAATATTCCTCCATTTTTTGATGAACTAAACCAATGTTATTATATGTAATAGCTAACAATGGATGATCAGACGCAAGAGATTTTTGTTGGATTTTAATTGCTTTTTCATAGTTCGAGAGGGCTTTTTTATATTTTCCCATATCAGTATATACCAATCCAATGTTGTTGTAAGTACTAGATAGGCAAGAATGATTAGATGGAAGAGAACTGAGTCGTATTTTAAGTGCCTCTTTGTAATAATAGAGCGAGTTTGAATATTTTTGTATTGAGGCGTACACAGAACCGATGTTGTTGAACGTTGTGGCTTGCAATTGACTATTTGATGACGGAGATCGCCGTTGAATATCTAATGCCATTTCATAGTATGAAAGTGCTTTTGAATATTCGCCTATTTGCTCATACGTAAGACCAATATGATTGTATGTATTAGCAAGATCGAGATGATTGGATGGAAGAGATTTTTTTTGTATTTCTATTGCCTTCTCATAGTTTGTGATTGCAAGTGAGTATTGCCCCATTTCATGATATGAGAAACCAATAGTGCAGTAGGTAATAGCAAGACCAGGATGATTAGATGAAAGAGATTTTAGCTCGATTTCCAGCGTCTTCTTATGATAATCGAACGCTTCGGAATATTTTCCCATTGCATTAAGAGTCGAAGCAATATTGCAATAGGTAGTAGCTTGTAAGAAATGATCTGTTGGAAGAGATTTATTTTGAATTTCAAGTGCTTTTTTATAATAAGATAATGCTTCTGAATAATTTCCCATTCCATAATGAGCTAAAGCAATGTTATGATATGTAGTAGACAAGTATGGATGATAGAGTGGAAGAGATTTTTGTTGGATTTCAAGTACTTTCTCATAGTAAGAGAGTGCCATTACATATTCTCCCATATCATTATAGAGTAAACCAATATTACAGTAGGTAGTAGCAAGTTTTGGATCATCAGATGAAAGAGATTTTCGTTCAATTTTTAGTGATTTTTCATAGTATGAAAGTGCATCTGGATGTTTTCCTAATCTTTGATATGTTAGTCCAATGTGATAGTAGAGAATACTCAGATCGGGATGATTCGCTGACAAATTTTGTTGCATAATTTCACTTGTTTTTGAAAAGAAGGTGAGTGCATCTGATAGATCACCTTTCTCTTGCTTAATAATCCCTAACTGATGATTAAGATGAGCGATAGCTTCGTAATTATTATCAGAAGTTTGATTGAGTAATGTATTGTAGAATTCTTCAGCTTTATCAAATTTACCCAATTTAATCATCAAATGACCCATTCGATGCAATGCTGTTGATCCATCAATTTCATTTCGAATGTATTTAGTAAGATTTGTTAAATGCGGATCATCATCACTTGTTACTATTAAATCGATTTGCCATAATCGATTTTCAATTTCTTGTATGTCAACAATTCGAAATACCGTATGCATGGAAAAGAGAATTTCATTTTCTTCAAAGGAACTAAATTCTTTGATAGAAGCGAACGGTTGTGTTGAAATAGAAAAATCGATTTCTATTTTAAATTTGATACCAATCAGATCAGGATTCTGTCGTGCACTATCCGCGAACATATCCCCAACATGTTCATCAGTACTTGTTGACAAAAAATTATTGAATGATAAAAGACCACCTTTACTGTTCTTTATCTTCTCAAATTCAGTCAGTGATACACCTTGTCCTCGAAAAACACGCAGATGATCATGACTCTTCATTTTTGAATGTAATTGTTTAATTTGATAATGAAGATCTCGAAGAAAAAATCCCATCTTGATTATAATTTCAGTGTCTTGATTTCTTAAAGCTTTATTTAAAGTCCAATAAATAAAACATGCTTTTGTATACCACTGAATAGATAATAAAGGTTGATAGTTTTCTTCGAATTCATCTATCTTTTTCATTTGCATATCATTTCCAGCATATTGAATGCGACAAAATTCGACATATTCTTTTTTTGTTTCATTATCAAATGGCATATCTAAAATAATCTCTTTTAATAATAGTGAATACATGAATGATTGATCTAATTCATTTGGATTTATAATAGAAGATGAATTAAAAACACTAATTGGTGTTAGATGATTGTTGTATTGACGAATATCTTGTTTCAGTCGATAAGAAAGGTCTTCAATTTGATTAAACATTCCTTTCACTTTTTTGTAATGAATGGTCCATTCTTTATATGATAGTTTAGAATTACAATATATATAAATTGAGTTCAATTGAATGAATGTTTCGATAAGAGGAATAAGCCATTGACTAAATTCACTAGATATGATTAAGAAGACTTCTTCATTAACGAGATCACTAATAAAATCGAAACATCGATCAATATCAGTAAATATTTTGACCGAGTCGGCGATGTTTTGAAGAAACATGATAGAATTTCGAATGTTATCATATGAATCAAACCAAACTATAATAATGTTTTCAATGAGATTATATTTTGGATGACATTCTAGTGGAGTAAACTCGTTTCTTCTATTGTTTATAGTAGTTGAAGTGAGATTCGATACTGATACATTCCTGGTTTGGATATCATTTGTAACAATTCCTTCAAATTTTGAATCATTCAAAGTCGTTGATGAATCAATGCATACATTCAAATCTTCGAAGTCCATTATAGAATTGGTAATAATAAAATTTCTAATGCTTTACAATAACTGTTTTTTTTCTTATTATTGATGTACGTCGCAACTCACATGACCGTAGTGGTAGATGTGAAATGTCGTTCTTTTTTTTTCTTTTTTCTCCTTTTCTTAGTTTTTATTTTCAAGCTCAAGGTTCCTCTCGCCATTGTACCAGCTGCATGAATACAGTAGAAATGAGAGAATGAAAGAAACCATCAAAAACGTTATAGAATTGAAGCAAGAAAACAGAAGTAGAAAGACATGTGAAGAAGGCATCTCTTCTGACATGATATAAGTACTCTTCGTTTCTAATTTATTTTTTGCTGTTTTGTTCTTTTGTCTAAAAAAGTGACTTTTTTGATTGGCCGTTAAAATGATGTTACACAATTCTACAACTTATATTAACATTATTCCATAAAAAGAAATACTGAATATACAAAGGTATTTTTATTTTGCTTCTTTGACAATATGTCCTGGGTTGGGTGTGGGGTGTGGGTGGGTGTGGGTGTGTGAGTGTGGGTGTGGGGTGGATGTGGGCGTGTGTGTGGATGTTGTTGTAGTCCAATACGTTGCCCATCCACCCACACCCACACCCACCTACACCCCACACCCACACCACACACCCACATCCCACACCCGCCAGCCACCCATATCCACACCCCACATCCACCCACACCCACACCCACCCACACGCCACACCCACACCCACCCACACCCACACCCACACCACTCACACCCACCCACACC